TTTTTTCCGTAAACAACTCGTAACAATCCGTAAGTATCGTAAACCGCTCGCAACAACACGTAACCATCCGTAAACTGCTTGCAATAATCCGTAAATGACTCGTAACAATTGTACGATTGTAACGGATTGTTACGAGTTATTACGAGCACTTTACGAATAGATACGTATACTTTACGTATTCTTACGTATTGTTTACGATTTGGGAAAGGCTGCAAAATCGAACATGTCATTTTTAGTTGTTATCAAGAAGTCAGAGAAGTCACATCTCTGTTTATCTACTCTACAATATCTACAAGCATGGTTCCAAAAAAGAAGGCAGTCAACAAGTTGATGACAGATTGAGATTTGCAGGATTTTTATATACTTTTTGCCAAAAAATCGTAAGGACTAGTAAATACTCATAACTAACTCGTACCTACTCGTAACAACACGTAAACAGGTCGTAACTAACACGTAAAAGCTTCGATAAATCGTAACATTCCGTAATATATCCGTAACAATCCGTAAAAAGCTCGTAAAATGCTCGTAAGTTGCTCGTAGTTATCCGTGACAACTCTTAACAAATTGTGGAATTTCGCCGTAAATACATCGTAATAACTCGTAATAATCCGTAATAAATCGTAAATAGCTCGTAATAACACGTAAATCGCTCGTAAAAGTAGCCAAATCGTAAGGATCCGTGTACTTTTACGAATTGTGCGATCCGTAAGGACTCGTAAGAAAAATCCATGTATGTGAAGGGGGTATAAAGAGTGTTTATGGGGACACCACCATCTCTGTTGACCTGTGACGCAAGCATTCCCAATACGCATAGCGAGCGCTGACGCGTTAACGCAAAAAATAATCGCGAACGGGCGCTGGACGCAGTTTGGGGGGTTATAGCTAGACTGGTACCTGTTCGCCACCTTCACTCGGGCAAGTATCCTTCGCTACACTGAAGTTAGTTAGTGTAGCGTGTGCAACTGTCGACAGGGTACGAGTCTAGCCGTTAGGCCGGTTATAGCCGGTTATAGCCGGCCGAGCTGCAGGATACGAGGCAGGCTATATGCATATAGACTGGTACCCGGTGGAGAGTTCGACACGCTACACTACGTCAGTGTAGCGAAGGATATATGCCGGAGTCAAGGTGGCAAACGGGTACCAGTCTACTATACATATAGCTTCGTTGCGCCATCTATCGCACACCATATGTACTACACTGATCAACAAAAACAAACAAACAACAAAGTTGAACTGCGTTTTTTACAGCAAACCAAGTGCGCCGAGTACGTAGCGAACAAAACATTACGAGCATTTCTAGAAAATGTCTAGCTACCTGGGTAATCAAACCCGTCGTGCAATCGCCAGAACTGCTCAATTCAGTTTGCGCGGACAATTCCGCTTCTATTACCGCGTTCACACGATCATGGTTTGGCTCGAGCCAAATGGGCTAAATTTGGTTCAGGCCAAATTTGGCTCGGGCGGGTTTGAGTCGGAGCGTTCACACGTACGCAAGTGAATACTGTCTGTCAAATTCAAATAAATTTTATTGCACAAATATCTCACAGATACTTTGGCAGTATGTTGCGAGATGGCATTGTGTACGATTTAGAGTGTTTACTTCTGTTCCAAGTACAATTATCAATCTTGAATTTTGAAAACGAATTTTTATACTGTTTTGGACTTTATTTCGTCAAAGTACACGTTCGGCACTCGCGGCATCTACCGCTCAACCGATTCTACCGCTCTACCGCTCGCCGAAAGCTGGTGTTAAAATTTGGCTCGGGCCTGGTCCGACGTTTTCGATGGGACCAAATTGGCTCGTGCCAAATTGGCACGGGCCGAAAAACCGTCCGTGTGAACGCTCGGCTCAAGTCAAATCTGGCACAGGCATAATTAGGCTCGGGCCAAAAACGTCCGTGTGAACGCGCCTTATGTAATCCCGTTGAAGGTGATTGAATGAGTGCAGCATAGTTGTGTTAGTGTGCCGCTACGCTGCGTTTTTCGCGCTTCGCGTGGATATCCGGGCTGCCGATCGTCCAGCGAATGGAGATTCGTAAACAGCGTATGATTTGAAAGAGGTAAATGGGCGCACAATCGCGTACTATTTCGTATCACTATTTTATCAAATTTGTTATGAAATAACGGTCGGATTTTTAATATCTTTGCAACTTTTATTAGTCCAAATCTTATTACATAGGATACGAGTAACGTGCCTGCTGTAAAACGTGTAGTAAAAAAGCATTACAAATTGTAACCGAAATCTACTTGTGGCAGTGGTAGATTGAGCCCATGAGCGAGAGCACCATCTGTCGTGGAGTTTGAGGGGTGTTGCTATCCCCCGGGCGTGGAGGGAGGGTCACGTGATACAGTTGACGTATACTTCAAAATCATTACTCATCCGGTAACGCTCCCCACCACCTCCAACGCTAACCCTAACACTAAACATATATATCTCGGAGCACTATATATAGGTTCTGTGATCCACAAAAATTAATCTATGGTGTGGGGACAGATATCATGATGCAAAAACCCTAACCCTAACCCTAACCCTGACCCTAACCCTAATCCTAACACTAGTGCTGCCACGTTGTGGTAACCTCCCTTCACGCCCGGGGGATAGTATGGTTATGGTGCTATGGCGTTGCTGTAACCTCTGCACACATCCAGTGCACAGTACAGTGCCCGCCAGTTGCGATGCCCCCATATGCATGCATGCCCAATGCATTCACTGTCTCATGCAAATCTTCGGCCATTTCAGTCAAGTACGCAAACGACAGTACGCCCACTGACTCCAACAATCGTAAAACTAAGCCCAGAGTAAAAGCTTGCGCGAAAAGAGAGCGTACTTAGAGGAAACATGAATCACACTTAACGAGGCGCATTCTCGCCGCAACGTTTATAGCGATATAAATTATTTAAATGCTCGACGTGCAACCTCCACACAGCCATCGTTGGCGAGCCCACAGAAATGTTCAATTCTGCCCACCCCCGCAATCCCCATGCCGCACGCCGTAGTATTAGCATACGCGTTCCCGCGGCCCACCGTCAACGTTTGGCTGCCACTTCGGGGAGGGTAAAACTTCTCGCCATTCTCCTTAGCTATTCAGGTCTCTCGAGTCACGTCCGAGACGGAATCGCAAATTTTAACTTGTTTCTATTCAGAGCGAGGGCCGCGAGCTTAATTATGTGCTTCAGTTAGCCCGCAGATGTAAATCGAATAGAAACACGGTTGGCCGGAAATGTCAACTCCAGCGCTACACTGCCGATCACCCTCGCTGCTGCCTACGAACGGTCTGTAACAACTGTTAACCACGACGAACCGGCCTGCAAATATTGGCCAAGTACATTTGGTTTTTTTAACAAATGGCTCGGCACGATTTCGATGATTATGTGGCGATGCATTATTCATCGAGTCAACACGGCAGAAATAACGCATCACCACGTCAAATATTTGGCATGCAGTCATCAAAACACACTTTTAATAGGATCCACTAACAGCAGGTTCAAAGGCGGGATAAGTGGAATTATCAGCTAAGCCTATGCATGCCGCAATGTGCTCGCCCGCCTGCATGCACACACACGCGCACGCACGCACGCACGCACGGTCTGTCTTGCGGCATGACAGCAAGCCACAATGGCTTCTCGGGTCCTTTTCACGGCCGGTCGCATTTGCATATAACGCACTTTCCTAACACAAGCGTGCTTTCTTTAGAATCGAGGAATGCGTTTTCGCCAGGAAATTGGACGTTGGCTGATAATTTTCTGTGTAATTCAGCAATATGCTATTCATCAATCGCCATGCGCGCTCCCAACAACGTACATCACACTACCACACGCCATGCTGACCTGCTTCTCAGCGCTCTAATAACGTCTGGAGCAATACGCATATAAATGGGCAGCTTTTTTCCCATTAAATCAAGATTAATATGCGCCAAACACGAAGCACCGACTCCCTAGACCAACCGCAAATCATCGGTCATCATTCCAATTTGATTACTCTCCATCGGTGTTTGCTCGGCATTAACAACATACGACTTGGGGCGGTCGACTAACTACGATAGATAGACGGCAGCTTGATTGCGCACGAAATCGGCAAATTCAGCCCTTTTCGGTTTTTCACAATTTTGCCTGCCTACACGGAAATATCACTCCAGATACGATATTTCTATCTGTCCGCAATTCAAACAATACTTCTCTTGTAATTTCATAACGAAACAGCATTCCCATTTACAACTTTCTGCGAAGCAATTTAGAGAGATAAATATACGATAACCGTATATCTCAGGCTTGAGTCCCATACATAGTTAAACGTAATTATAGACTGGAAAAGGGTAGAAATAATATCCAGTTCAATACAAGAGTAGAATATAATTTACACAATTTAGAAACACGAAGCAAACTCAAGAGAAACCTCGCAAGTTCTCTAACTCACCACTATATTTAAATAATAACTGCTGTTAAACACCGGAAAATCGCTATGGCGTCACTGGGCCACCATAGAGCTGAGATGTTCCGACTAAGTGTACGATACGAAAGCATCAGTTTTACGACTCCCAAAAAAATGCAATCACTTACGCGCAGCATGCAGACAGATATCACTTTCCGTCGAATGCGCTCGGATCTGGACATGGTTTGCTAAGAGGCAGGAGGGGGGGGGGGAAGTCGCTCAGAGAAAAAAATCACGGTAACAGCGTAAATATTTCTACACCGTTTACTGAGCGCAGTACAAATCTGTGTATGATAAAACGTAATGGTGTACATCAAGGAACCTATCACCTTTTGAATAATACGAATTTCTAATAACGGGAAATCGTATGCTGAAAACCAACGAACGATAATCACTGCCAAATACTTTTATCGTTGATGTATGTGCACTGGGATGACAACACACTCGACCATGCGTCTGTGACACCCACATGCTGGAAAACGGAAGATACTGCCACACATATATATACGCTGGTATTTGCACGGACAGCTAGACTTCCACTACAATGATTTACTACTGCAATATCCCGCAATCAATCTGAAAACGCTGTCAGTCTTGCACGTATAAGAATCATCATCTTCCTCAGCTGCATTTGTGGAGCTGCAGTAACGTCTGCATACGCAGCCAGGCATGACGATTCAATATTAAGCAGATTGCTTTTTAGCTTGCTCCGCTGAGAAAACGTATAATGCTCAGCGTGAGTTATTTCATGTCCGATTGCTCTATATACACATCACACTGTTCATCAACACCCGAAACATACGCTCGAACACGCGCAGAAACCTGCCTAGCTAGGCAGTAACATCAAAAACTATCACCTTCGCGACGCCACCATCAATGGAACGCAAAATATACATCATTACAAAATGGAATCTGCTACACCATCTCCTTTACGCTCTGCTTTTCGCGCCGATGCGACAAATATTGCAGCAAAGGCAGTCTCTGCGCTCTCGCTATACTCATACCAGGTTTTCGAGACCGCATACAAACCCTGCTTCGTAATTTATATTTTACCGGCTGCATTGCCGGTTTCACGCACGGTGGGAACCGAGGAGCGGGAGTCAATGTTCATTCATTTCTCGTGTAATTACGCCGCCGGCAGAAGCACCGCTTGTTGACCTCGAGGTGCAAAGATGCCGCCAAAGACGGCGCCGCCAAGGCTGCCGCTCGCACGAGGCGACACGCGCCGCTCTGAGGCGTCCACAGGGAGCGCGGCAACCCTCCCGTTCTTCTTCTTCTTGGCACTCAAACACACGCACGCACGCACGCACGCACACGCACGCACGCACGCACGCACGCACACACACACACACACACACGCACTTACACATCCATGCACGCAGACGCACGCACTTACACATGCATGCACGCACACGCACGCACTTACACATGCATGCACGCACACCCACGCACGCACGCACGTGCGCGCACACTCGGGCGCACGCACACACCCACACACGCACTTACACATGAACGCACGCACACCCGCGCACGCACGCAATCACCCACGCACGCACTCACCCACGTACGCAAACACACACGCGCGCGCACGCACGTACACACGCGCGCGCAGGTTGGCGGGCGGGTGGGGGAATTGCTTTTGGAACCACGTGGGCAAACACTTGGCAAGACAATACAATCGATAGCGCGAAGGGCAATCTCGTCGCCGAAGACACGCCGGCCACGCGCTTCTCACAGAGAGCGAGAGAGAAGGGGCTCGGGAAGCCAGGCAATCAGCTGGCAGGGGCAGAGAGTCACGGGTCTGCTTGCCTGCCTGCATGCGCTCCGGCTGGTGCCTCGTGACTGGAGAGTCCGGACTGCCTAATCGAATTGGCCCCATGCCTGGTAACATGGCGGCCGCACCACACTACTACAGCAGCGCGCTCCCAGCAGACACTCGGTGATAACTCTACGGACGCGGTGTGATCGCCACTGTTTCAGCAGTCGGCAGAACTTGTCGCCGGGGAACGCGACCAGTAATGAATTGTAAATTGTGTATCGACTGCGAAAATCAACTAGTATATCTATTGCACGCCATGTATCTGGCACGTCAGCGTCTATTAATACAACGACCTGCACGCATTTCAGTGTACACTACCAACTATATATCCGGTCTACACGCCCATATTAGTCACTGTATATGTTGTTATAAACATTTTTTTCATGTGTAAATTAAAGTATACACATCAGGCGTATCGCTATTAGAAATTTAATGTTATGTTTTTCCTCCTGAGTTTCTCTCTCCATGTTCTAGACCGTGTTTAGCTGTGACGCACTTTCACTGCGAGAACCACATGCACCCACCTCCCTATATATATAATCAATTCGCGCTGGTCTTGCCTCGATCATGGCTTCATCCAGAAAGCTTCGTATCCAGCAAATAACCGACGTCAGCCATCCATAACATGTTCTTTGAAGATTTCCTCGCATGCCGGCCCTTAACGGATATCTTTTAAACCAAGAAAAATCGTTCGTGTAATAGCCGAGCATGCTGGAAACATCCCCCCCCCGAAAGAATCAGTCGGCGCCCGCGAAGACAGTTTATGCTCCCCTCCTTTCTGTAGATCGACGTTCAATTTTCAAATGATTCCATCAAATTGCTGAGGGAATGGTCAATCCAAGAAGCATTGCCTTCTGCTTGGCTACGTGCATGTTGACATGGGATTAATGTGTGAGGCAGACTCCACCGTTCGATGCCCGCCAGCACGGTCGCATGCTACTAGTACTGCGCTCCTCATATTCGTCATCAGCGGCAGGGATGCTGCACAGGCATGCACACACCCGCGAACAGGACAGGCGCCGCGGGAGGTAGGGGGAGAGGACTATGCAGGAATGCGGAAGGGGAGAAAGGTATGGAGGGATGAGAAAGGGAAGAGAGGTATAGAGGGATAAGAAAGGGAAGAGAGGTACAGAGAGATAAGAAAGGGGAAAGGGGTATAGAGGGATAAGAAAAGGGAGAGGGGTATAGAGGGATGAAGAAAGAAGGAGAGAAGTTGGAGAGCGGTAAACACGGATAAAAAAGCAAGAAAAGAAGCAGATGGAAATGAAGACGATGGGGGGGGGGGGGTGAGGAAAAGAGCAGAGGAGTACGTGAGGATGGGAAAGCAAGGGGGAGGTAGGCCGGCATAGATAAATACACAGGCAGGCAAGAATGAGAGACATACGCAATACAGCGGATAGTTCCATATAACTATATCACAAAAAGAAACGTGCGAAATAGGAAGAATTATGAAAGGCTGTGTCACATTATCGAACATCCAGTCAGCAAACTTTGCCACAGAATACCAATTCAAAATTTGCATGACAGCTGATTGGGTTACCTCTGCAGTCATTGCTAGACGGAATAAATCCACGTGATTATATTAATTCAACTGTCACATATAGTTTTTTTTTGTATTCTGAACGTTATCATACCTTAAAACGCCTGACAGCCATCTCTTATTCAAAGAATTGCATAACCTCAGAAATATGCTGCCATTGCATTCACCACAATATGGAACGAATCCCCTGGTGAGCTTAAAATTCACTGTCATATCAAAAGGCTTTTTGCCGTTTCTATTTCATCACATACTTCAAAGCATTCTCTCTGGTTCCACCTCTCTTGTTCTGCACTGCTGGACTACATCCAGGACTAGTACAAACTCCACGACATATGGCGCTCTCGCTCATAGGCTCAATCTACCACTGCCACAAGTAGATTTCGGTTACAATTTGTAACGCTTTTTTACTACAAGTTTTACAGCAGCCACGTTACTCGTATCCTATGTAATAAGATTTGTACTAATAAAAGTTGCAAAGATATTAAAAATCTGACAATTATTTTATGAGAAATTTAATAAAATAGTGATACGAAATAGTGCGCCCATTTACTACTTTCAAATCATTACGCTGTTTACTAAACTAAGTTTACGTGTTTATTTATTATTTATCATGAATTTTTCGGATGCTTGCCAATATACCTAATTCTCGAACATTGTCTTTGATGCATTTTTGCGTATTCAGCTTATAACATCTAAATTTGTCCACCAACAAACATGCAAATCATAGAAATTTCTAATGTTTTGTTCGACGGCGACTTCGCGGCCGTTGGCTTGCGATTTGCTGGATTTCCCCGGAGCTCCGCCCACTTTAAAAATAGTGCTAGCATTGTGGCAGTGGTATCCTGAGTGTGGGAAGGGGGCGCTGCATGCAGTTTGGGACTAGTACTCACCTTTCCTAGGCATTGCCTTTTATTCATGGCTAGAAGCGCTGCAGCTGCCGCCTGGTGTTCAGCAAACTCAACAAAACAGTACGGGTCGTTGCCAGCCTGGAAGCAAACAAGAACACGGCCCACTTAGATACGCGAATTAAATACAGACTAACCTACGTTAGGGGCCACCTCAATAGAAAGGCAACCTGCTTGACCTGACTGACTTAGATGACAATTAATTTCAGAGAAGAGAAATAACGGAAGATCTTTATTAAGCGGTGATACTTCAATCGGAATAGTTCTGCGAAATGATGTCAAACCTATCTCATATTGGGTATGCGACACTGCAACTGCACAGCACGGTTAATATGACTATAAACATGTTCTTGACACTGTGCGTTCATTATAGTCCCATTGCACGTAGATGAATGTACATCTGCATATATAATGTTATTTACATTCCTAGCGAGGTGCTCAGATCCTAAAGCCTGCTAAAGGTCATTTACATTTGAATTCCTTAAGTATAAATAAAGGAAACTACTAATGCTGACATTACTGAATGTTCAGTTAACTCCACCGTGCAGCTGCGATTTTATTAAATGAAACCGAAGACTGAAATCAAACAAGCTTTTATGAGGAAATCATGTTTATGTTTTAAAAACAAATTATCCTCTCACATGGGATGCATGGCTCGCTCGCTCGCTCGCTCTCTCTCTCTCTCTCTCTCTCTCTCTCTCTCTCTCTCTCTCTC